CTCTCCAAAAATTGCATTGTCTTTGAACAGTTCCTCCCCGACACCTCAACGCCTTCTCCTTATAATTCTGCCACATTTCACGCCTTCTCTACCCATATATATAAACTTCCTTTGAACAATATCTTATAGCTTCCATCTCCCTTGTGCCCAAAACTCCATCCTTTTTATCTCTTGGCTCGAAGTTACTCTTATTTTCTTCTCATAGAACTGCACACAACCATCAAACGATGGTCGAGCCAGCAACCGACACCAAGTCGGCTGTGAGAACGGTCGCGTTGTTGAAAGATGAGCTCGACATCGTGATCCCAACCATTAGAAACTTGGATTTCTTGGAGATGTGGAGGCCATTCTTTGAGCCTTACCATTTGATCATTGTTCAGGATGGTGATCCTACCAAGACCATCAAGGTTCCCGATGGTTTCGACTACGAGCTCTACAATCGGAACGATATAAACAAGATTCTCGGCCCTAAGGCCTCGTGTATCTCATTCAAGGACTCTGCGTGCCGTTGCTTTGGTTATATGGTGTCCAAGAAGAAGTACATCTTCACCATTGATGACGATTGCTTTGTAAGTTTGAGATCTCTTTTTATATTACTTTCCGAATTATTTTTTATTATTTTCATACTAATCTTGAATTGTTATGAGAAAATAAGATTTGATGTTTTTTTTTTTTTGGATCGATGTTGATTATATTAACTTTGTGGGTACCTCAGGTAATATGTTATATATGCATTGACCGTTAAAATAGGCGATTTCATGACCTGTAACTACTAAATCGAGATCATATGTTACTAACTTTCATCCCTATCTTCATGGGTCAAAGTTAGATTTTGAGATTGGAAATAATAATTGTTATATGGTACTATGGATTCACCAATGTAAATGTGTTTTTTTGTTTGATTATAGGTCGCCAAGGATCCTACAGGAAAGGCAATCAATGCTCTTGAGCAACACATCAAGAATTTGCTCTGCCCCTCAACTCCATTCTTTTTCAATACCCTATACGACCCTTTCAGAGAAGGAGCAGATTTCGTTCGAGGGTACCCTTTCAGCCTTAGGGAGGGTGTGCCAACTGCAGTCTCTCATGGCCTCTGGTTGAACATTCCCGATTACGATGCACCTACTCAACTCGTCAAACCTCTCGAGAGGAACACCAGGTACGTGCGAGATCAACTGGTTCTTGTCACACGCTATTGTTAAATAAGCTAATGATTGCATACTTATGCTTAATATGCATATAATTAGGTATGTGGATGCTGTGATGACCATTCCCAAGGGCACCTTGTTCCCAATGTGTGGTATGAATTTGGCCTTCCATCGTGAGTTGATTGGCCCTGCAATGTACTTTGGCCTCATGGGCGATGGCCAGCCAATCGGTCGATACGATGATATGTGGGCTGGTTGGTGTATCAAGGTATGATCGATATCCAATGATGCGCGGTTATTAGTGATGTATCGTTAAGCGAGTATGTCTCGCGGTGATTCATCATACTAGGCTTCTGACTTCTGTGACATCGAACTAACGTTTATGTACTTTGTATTCATATTCTAGGTGATTTGTGATCACCTAGGGCTTGGGGTGAAGACTGGTCTTCCATACATCTATCACAGCAAGGCCAGCAACCCATTTGTGAACTTGAGGAAAGAGTACAAGGGCATCTTCTGGCAAGAAGAGATCATACCATTTTTCCAAGCTGTGTCACTTCCAAAGGATTGTACAACTGTTCAGAAGTGTTATATTGAGCTAGCCAAGATGGTGAAGGACAAGCTTGGCAAAATTGACCCTTACTTTGATAAGTTGGCTGATGCCATGGTGACTTGGATCGATGCTTGGGACGAGCTTAACCCAACTGGGGCGGCTAATAAGGGCAAAAAAGCTTAATTTTCTTTGAACCATTTTGAGTAATTAGTTTCAATTTTTGTGTTTCCCCCTTTCCTTTCTCTTGAATTCAATCTCTCTCTTTGTTCTTTTTTAAAATTTATTTTTCTTCTTCACACTTGGGAGATAAGAAGTTGATAGGACTTGGGCCATTCTTATGAGTTTATGTAACTTCATATTGTTTGATGTGTGTAAGACTTGATCATGAGATTTGAAATAATAAAATTTGTTGTTGTGGTTGAATGCCATTTCCATCTGTTTTATTATTTGAACTTTATGAAAGTTGAGGTTTGTACAAATGTTAAAATATACTAGTTTGTTAGCCCGCGCTCTGCAGCGGTTTTAATGATTAGTTGAAATTAAATAATTCAAAATATAGTTTAAAAGATACATAAGAGATACATCCATAAAATTTATATATTGTCTTAATCATAAGCTTACACAATACACATTGATACATAAGAGATAACTATCCCTCCATAAATTTTACGCAGTGTATTTCTAATTTACATAATTGTTATAGAATGGTATTATGGGGTCGTTTGGAAGTTGCGATGGTTTTGTTGAGATTGTCATTATGCATGTATTGTTTACAATGCATCGTTTTTTTTTTGTTTTTTTTAGCAGAAACAATACATGGATTGTTTCTGTGATGAGATAGAAACTATCACTCATTTTGAGTGATTGTTATATCTCAACTTTTAGTTGTGATTGTTGAGATAGTAGAGTTGAGATTGTTTTGTCTCAGCTTTTAGCTGATGCGACATACACAATCACACATACCAAATATTGTTCTACAATGCATCAAATTCGACAATACATGTATAACTAGCCTATAGCCCGGCCCGTTGGCCGTATTTGTTTAAGGAAATGGAGTTACAATATCTATAATGATAGTGTCGAGAAATGAGTCTTGTTTTATATTATCATAAGATTGTTGCAATTTTGCAATTCGTTGAAGACGAACATGTAATATGAATGAACATTCATAATAAGTTAGAAATACATTTGAAGATTAGCTAATCACAATAAAAATACTTACATGAAATTTTACTAATCACAAATCTAATCTAGTTGAGTATTACGACAAATAACATGCAAGTCCAAAATAAGAAAACTCAATACATTGTCTCATTGTTCATGACATGGTACTCAATTCAACAATGGCAAAAATAATTTCACCAACACAAGTTCACAATAACCAAATGCATCGTTCCAGGGACCGACTGTGACCATGACTTCAAATGTCTGTTCTCCAAGCATGTTCAGAAGGGCCATATAGTCAGCATTGACAACATCTGCATGACTGAATACAGATTCAACAATCGTTCGTAACTGTGATGACGGGAAGACGATGTCAACACCAATGAATTCGTCCTCAATTGTGAGGTGGACGAAATGGATTCTGGATGCAGGGGACCAGGACGTCGTCAAATTCGTTACACGTCCGGATAACAAAAAAGAGGTGCCCTGATGTAAACACAGAAACGAATATTGTCAAAGCAAATCGATAAAATGCAGCATGCCACAAAAGGCGTACGATTAAAAAGAAATTTATTTGTTTAGTTACCTGATTTTCGACATCCACTTGCAACATAATGAGATCAATGGTGTCGGCACGCTCACAAATTTCAAGAGCATCATCATATTACAGATTAGCAATAAAACCATGGGGAAGCCTATATATTGGACTGTAAGTTTTGGCATTAAGTAGTGAAAAAGAATCGAAATTACATGATGTAGTATTTGTTGGATGCATGAGCAGTACTTACTGATTGAATTGAGGCAGGCCCGCCATATTGAATGCAATTCGCACGGTCAATGGAACCGAAGTGTTTTGTATGGGAAGTAGTAAACGGAAATTGTAACATGAGAGAAAGTGGTATCTCCATTATATAAAGGAGAGAAAGTGATTCTACACACGTGATTTACTTGGCCGCATGCAGTGGAGTACGTGTGTGTGTGGAAAGTGGGATAGTGGGGGAGTGGAGAAGGATTTGTGGCCTCGTGGGGGAGTGGAGAAGGTTGGCCATTTAGAGTTCAAGAGGCGGGTGTGTCACGGAACTCACGACCCACCCTTTTTTTTTTTTTTTAGGGGAACGACCCACCTTCTTAAAATCAAACATGCGCCTTCCTTTTATTTTGTTGCAATTAAAAATTCAAAAACAAAAGAAGGTAAGTACAGAATAAAATATAAAGAGAAGAAAAATCAGTTCACTTCCCAAAAAAGACCTAGCAGCCGCCCAAATTATGCTTTTTCAGTTTTAATAATTCTCACTTTATTCTTTTATCTCTAATAAGTGAAACAATAATGGTAAAAAAAAATAATTGTTAAGTCTACCAAGTAAGTCAACACCGGTTTATGATTGGTTTTTAATATCGATTAACCACCGGTTATTTGATAAACCTTGAACCCTTTACTAATCCGGATCGATGTCCGGTTCCGTTTTAACAACATTGCTAATTGCGACTGTGTCAACAATTCTTGTCCAAAATTGCCTCTCAAAGTTGCTAATTATTATTTGATGCGCCAACCCGGCCGGCCCGGCCCACACCACCACTAATTAACATGAAATGAAAATCATAATGAATGTATTTAATAAAGAAATAATGGCTTGGAATGCGGCAGCCTTCACCTCATAGAAGATCCAAAAAAATCGGAAACTGGGCAGTAGAGGAGGTGGGGGAGTGGGGGAGTGGAGAAGGATCCGCCCAAGGTAGTGTAGGTTGGCCTTTTTTTTATGGGAATAGGTTGGCCATTTAGTTTCAACAAATCCGGCTGGGCATTCCCTCTCTAACTATATTTTATTTAACTGAACCATGCTTGGGTTGTTTTGTGGGCTGGGTTGTGGTGTTAATTTAGTTTAGTTCAGTTGCGACTATGAAAGTTCTTCTTCGTATTGCAATATAACGGTCACACTCGCATACCCTTCGGTAGAGTAAATTGAGGTACAATTAAATATAAAGTAGTGTGCATAAATCACATTTCATATAATTGGCTGTTAAAAACAGGAAATAATTTGGACAAATTGAGAACTCAAGATTCAAATTGTAACGACCCGATAAATTGGACAGTCTTAGTCCTCAAATCGAATAAAACATAATACATAAATAAACCACTACTCAAAAATCTCAGTGAACACAATGTTCTGCATAGTCTTCACTGGTTTACCTTGAGAGTCACAGCTAAGAATCTTGAGTCCCCTTTCCGACGTAACTCGAGACATAGCAACATACAACTGTCCATGAGAAAATACTTGTCTTTGCAAGCAGATGCCAACGTGATTTAATGTTTGACCTTGACTCTTGTTAATTGTCATTGCATATGACAGTGCAATTGGATATTGCCTTCGAACCAGAGTGAAATTTAAGCTCTTGTAGTGGACCGATAGACTTAGGCGTGGTAAGAAAACTGTATCACCAACATATGTCCCGGTCAAAATTTGGACCTCAATAAACCACTTACCTAATCTCTTAACGATCATCCGAGTTCCATTGCAAAGCCCAGTACTCTGATCCAGATTTCGAAGCAGAATAACAGGGCACCCCAACTTCAATTTCAACTCATGTTCCGGAAAATTCCCAATCTTTAAAGAGTTCAAGAATTCAACTGTGTAGTCCCCTTCTTCAACATGCTGATTCTTGGCATCAATCTCTAGCGAATCCGAACTAAAATAAGAAACTTCTTCACCAGGAAATAGACCCAATACATAATTGTTAATGGCCGCAACAGTGTCATTATGAGGGGCTAAGATAGCTCGCTCAACCAAATAGGTTGACATATTTTCAGTGGAGAGTAACTGACCATATATTTCAGCAACAATATCAGGAATTGGATCACTGCGACGGGGAACACAAATGTGTAGAGGTATCGGGATAATTGATTCTCCAAAAATATTACTATTTGTACCATCACCAATTTCCAAAAGCCATTTGCTAAAATTTGAGATTGCTAACCTGGCCGATGCTTCAGAATGAGGCAATTTTAATCGCATGTTCTCGGTTAGCTTCAATACTGTCATAGACCGCCACAAATAAGATCTCTTTATGGAAGAATTAACAATTTCAGTCCGTGTACCCTTCGTGATGATAGGTAACGTCTGTCGGAAATCACCTCCAAACACAATAGTCATACCTCCAAAAGGATTCAACTCAGAATCAACATGCTTAACTCGGAAAATATCCCTCAATGTCCTATCTAGGGCCTCTATGTTGTGTTTATGAGCCATTGGTGCCTCATCCCAGATAATAAGTGAAGCATTGAGAATCAATTCAGCTACCTCAGAACCTTGCTCAATATTGCAAGTTGATTTTGTATCACAATCTAGGGGAATGTGAAATCTTGAGTGTGCAGTTCTTCCACCGACCATGAGCAGTGCAGCAATACCAGATGAAGCAACACATAATACTATCCTCTTCTCAAATCTTAATTGCTCACAAATTGCTCGCCGCAGAAATGTCTTACCAGTACCCCCAAATCCATCCACAAAAAAGCATTTACCCTCATTGGTATAAACAGAATGTAATACCATATCGTAAGCGATTTGTTGTTCTCCATTCAACGGTCTACTATGTCGATCCTCAGAACAGTCTAAGTCATCGGGTTCATAATTCATCTCCATATCTATCAGCCTGTTTACCGTATGTGAACGCAAACACTAATCGGGAACAGGCAACCCAGGGAAATCTGCTAATGACTTCGAAAATCTCTCCATCAATTTGTCAATATGAATAAGGCACAACTCCTTAATTTCATCCTCCAACAAATTCAACTGGGGTAAATTCAGCTCTCTACGTCGTGAATGCAAAATGCCTTCACTTAGTAATTCCCAATTCTTTAACCAAAAAGAAGTCACATCAGCCACCTGACAATGAATAAGAATTGTGACAAAAAGTTTTCTAAGTTTATAACCAGAAGCCCAGTGCGAAGCTTCTTGGACACAATCATTCCATTCAGAATCTCCTGATAACAGTCCCCGAGCATAACATGCTTTTTGGAATGTTTCATATACCACCCCATTCACTGTTCTAATATCATCATAAGAACAACAACCCCTAACAACATGCAATAGCATTCGCAAATAGTATCGCTCCTTTGCGGATGGGTAGCAGTAATATAATCTAGCAATGCAGGTACCTTTTTTGCGCTGCTGCCACTTCTTGTATTTTTTATTCCATACATAATATTGTGGCATCTCCGCAAAGGTATATTTCCGTGCATCTATTGACTGAAGATTGAGATCCATCCATGCTAACAACATTGAGGTTTGGGAACTGCTAGACTCAACCGCTTCCTCCACGTTAGAATCAACATTTGAATACACTGTATTCTCACCACGCAAATGACAGGACATACGCATTACTGTTGGAGAGTGAGTGTATATATCAAACCTAATAATTCTCCAACATGCTTCTCCCGATGTGATGTAACGGGCATCCATGAATGCCTTTATCTCATCGATTTGCACAACCGTAGTTCCACGATTCCGACCATCCATAGCCGAAGCTGTTTGTTGTGCAGCTACAGTGACCATTGCACGATCCTCGGGTTCGTTGATGTACTTAAACAAATATTTCACAGCCCTATAAAAACATCAAATAAAACCAAGTTGTAGATGTTAGATAGGGAAGTAGGAAAAAGTTGTATTACATTTTTTCTTAAATGTGACTTGTATTAAATAAGAAATCAAAGTACAGAGAACAAAAGGCAACAAATGGATCACAATAGCTTATCCAAGGGGCAAAAAAAAATGAAGGAAAACACACCAAAAAATATTACAAAAATTACAGAGTTGCGGCAAGAAGTCACACCAATAAGATAACACTGGGTTTATAAAATAACTAAAAAAAAAGAGAAATCGCACAAATATTGGTTTGGTTTTTATTCATCTTTGGAAATTAAATCATAATTCATATGCATGCATAAAGTTAATAATGAGTGTAGCATATAAATATACATATAGCCTGTCATTAAGAATCTGAGTTTGGTAATATAATAAAGGAAACAACAACGTCATATAGATAAATACGATTTACTTTAGCCATACCTTGTCTTGTTACAATATTCAATATTGATATGCGCTCCAAATCGTAGTAACAAATATCGATTGTAGGGTACAACCCATCGATTATCCAGATCAACGCCGCCACAGTTGAAAACTCTACCATTGTTCCGCCGACGATATTTAGCAAACCCAGTTTCATCAATAGTTGTTTGAGAAGAGTATTCCTTGGGGTAATGCTTACTACATTTCCCATTCTTCATGCACACATTATTAGGACGTACTGTACCACACTGGCCATGCATCATTGAACTTGTGACAACTGCATACAGTTCAGGATCAAGATCAGGATCCGGAATTTCAGCACATATTATGGAATCAATAGCCGCAGGACCATGGAATTTATTCTCCGAGGCCAAAAAAAGCAATATGTGTGCATGAGGGAGACCCCGCTTTTGCCATTCAATTGCTTTGACATCTGTACAGCAAGATGCAAATAGTGGAAAAGGAATATTAGTTCAATGAGGTAAGAGAGTAATGGATGAACATTAATAGATAAATAACGAATGAATAAACACACATACATGCATTGATTTTCCCAAATATTTGTTTCTCGCGAATCTCTAACATAAACTCATCAAGCTTGATTTTGAAAACTCTGGCGGGGATGTCAGCCCGGTCAGGATCTTTGCCACTGTACCTTCTAATCAAATCAACCATTAACTGTATCTCTGGCCAGTTAGAATTGCAAGTGAATGTTATAAACAAATCAGGATAACCAATCCACTTGCAAATAGCCATCGCATCCTGAAAATTCTCATACTTGTATCTTGGACTACCAGTGTGTGAGGCAGCTAAAATAACTGGCTTCCCAGAAAGCTTGATATCACTATCCCCTCGCAAATAAGAATTCAACAAATCCTTGTAGTAGTGTCCTCTTAGCTTCGACTGATGGGTACGCATCCAGTCTAAGCGTTCAGCCTCAATTAACGCAAATGCATTCACCATATATTGTTGAAACAATTTACCAGATAATAACAGAGAATTCGACTCCTGGAGACGGCTTTGAAGACGATATGCATAGAAATCACACTGGGTTATCATTTTATCTCCAACACTGATATTAGAGCTACTGTGACTATAGCTAATGCAGGGATGCCACCCATCCTCGCCATATGGGAATAAAATTGGATATTGTAATGCCATCAGACTTGGATGGTATACGCTAATCCTTTCCATTTCTGAACCCTTCTGTTGAACAATTATATCTGGAGAAAATGATTGCTCTCCTGTTTCATCTACAATCAATGCTGCAATCTCATTCGCAGAGGGCAAATCATATTCTCTACTATTAATTTCACGCTTAGCCAATAGTTTCAGTTGAAGCTCCTGGACACCAGAGTTTTGTATCCTATCTCGCGCAGAACGAAATGTACGTACCAGGATATTATTGTCATCAAACATATGCTGGAGGCCTTCAACAATACACTGGCGCAACAGATTCTTGGCAGGATCTGTGGAGTAAAAGTCCATACGATTCTGCACCTCGTTATCTGAATCGTGAATGTAAAGCTGTACAAATTTCGGACTATCCCCATCACCAGGAACCAAACATCCTATTCGATGATAAATCTGACCACCGAATGAATATACATAAACTCCACGACCATCATTAATAGAGTGATTGACTTTACCTCCGAGAGAAATAAAGCAAAAAACCCCATTATAGGCTCTGATGTTAGTACGAAAGTGACGCGCTAATGGTGTATCCCCTTCAAGTAGAGTTTTAAGAAATTCGGGCACATCTCTGCGGGGAGACAATTTCACTTTACCATGTTTGCAACATAAAGGAAATGCAGGCAACACATCATTCCGTGTAGATAAAGTACTCTCGAACCGCCACATAACTGCTCCACAATGTTGACACGTACATGAAGGTGGACCAATATCAAAAAATTCAACCAACGGAAGACCTAGTGAAATAGATAAGTAATATTAATAAATTTTTGTCACAGTAATTCATAAATTGAATGAGATTGAGAAACTGTGAAGCCGATTTAGGCGCGCTACAGTAAACACAATTATTAAAATAAATGTTCTCAAGACAAGATAGATTGGTATACCGCTCATTTTAAGTAAGAATAAGTCAAATTTCAGGAAACACCAAAGTTTGTTCATAACACACAAATTTGCCGTTGACACATCAACATCTAAAAACAATCCACTATTTGCATAAGGTGACATGAAGCGTACATCACTAAATTATATGCATGGCATAAATGGGTACATTATATGTTCTAAAACCAAAATAGGAAACAAAATATGTTGACTAGAACACAAAAACATATATCCAATGTACAAAAACTAAACCAAAATAGAGATGAACCATTTCATGTATAATAGTGGCCATTAGAATCCACATACTTTGATTGACTTCTGTAGGAAAGAAACTTCGGCCACGTCTCTTTCTATGCAGATGAATACGTCGAAGTAATCGACTTTGCTTTTGTAATAGAAATCTAAACTCCGGCTCCAAAACTATGAACAACACCAAAACACATACGATATTAAAGAAATAAATAAAGATTCAACAATCTAGAATAGCCTAATTTGTAAGACTTGCTACAAAATTTAGCAAACAACAACCTTGGTGTTCAAAAGGCAAGCCCCTCCTATGAACCTTCTGTTTCAAAATATGATGTCTTCTCTTACGGGCGACTTGGGATAGTATTCGCCGAAGTTGAGAGAGTTGGAATTGTAAGGCAGCTTCTTCTGCAGAATTTAAATATAAAATCATGTATTACTCATTGAATATATGAACTAATTAGAAAAATTAAAACACAGATAACACACCTCTCTCAAATGCTTCTTCCTCTTCAGCAGATAAAACACAGCGTTGGTACTGATCTTCAGGATGAATAAACACTGCTCGACGTTTCCCTAAACAAATGAGATTCAAGGGAAAATATTAATGTCAGTTTGCATTGAAGCAGTTGCGTGCTAAACCATGACACTCACAT